TCGCGCGGATTACGAGAAAGAGGTCATCGCCGGCAATACGTTCGATTATCCGGCCCTGCACGGCCGCTCGATCGTCAGCGCCGGATATTCGTTCGTGTCGTGCAGCAACGAATCGGTCATCGACGACGAGGTGAACCTCGGCGACTACCGACGGTCGATCTGAATCCTCGGCAAGCAGCGCGAAACCGTCCTGGCGCGCGGAGCCTGTCCGCCGGAATTCCGGGCTTTCCGCCCGAACTGCAACTGGCCCTCGCGGACTACTGCAACGGCGGGGGCACCTGCTGGTCAGCGGCGCTTACGTGGGTTCCGACCTGTGGGAAAGCGACACGACCGATGCATCGAAGGAATTCGCCGCAAACACGTTGAAATTCAAATTACGTACGGACGGGCGGCCGTTCGCGGCGGTGTCCGGAGGCGTCGCCTCGCCGTACAAAACGCTGAAAGGAGATTACGATTACAACCACGAACTCAACGGCGATTGTTACGTCGTCGAATCGCCCGACGCTATCGAACGGCTGCCGACGGCGCCTTCACGGTATTCCGTTATACGGAAAACAATCTCAGCGCGGGAGTGGCTATAAAGGCGCCTACAAGGTCTGCACGCTCGGATTCCCGTTCGAGACCGTCCTTACGGACGAACGGCGCGACAGCCTGATGCGCGGGATTCTGGAATTTTTCGAACAACCATAACCCTTCGGACGAATGAACGCCGCTGAAAACAAACGCTGCTGCCCTCGATATCCTGCGCGGGATCACGATCGCAGGGATGATCCTGGTCAACAACCCGGGCAGTTGGAGCGCGATCTACGCCCCGCTGGAACACGCCTCGTGGAACGGACTGACGCCGACCGACCTGGTCTTTCCGTTTTTCATGTTCATCATGGGGGCATCGACCTACTTGTCGCTGAAAAAATTCGATTTCCGGTGCAGCCGCGCCACGGTCCGGAAAATCTTGCGGCGAGTACTGGTGATCTTCCTGATAGGCGTCGGGATCGGGTGGTTCTCAAGATTCTGCGGCACGTTCAACGCGCTGTCGGACGAAGGAGTTCCGTTTTGGGAACGGATCGGACGTTCGTGCTGGACGTTCGACCGGATGCGGATCCTCGGCGTGATGCACGCCTGGCGCTGAGTTACGGCGCGGCGGCGCTGATCGCCGTAACGGTTCGCCACCGGCGCATCCCGTGGATCGCCGCGGGACTGCTCGCCGGTTATTTCGCGATCCTGCTATCGGGACACGGATTCGAAATTTCCGAACAAAACGTCGTCGGCATCGTCGACCGAGCAATACTCGGCCCGGCGCACATGTACCGTCAGGGCGATCTCGCCTTCGACCCGGAAGGATTGCTGAGTACGATCCCGTCGATCGCCCACGTGCTGATCGGATTCTGCTGCGGAGGACTGCTCGTCGGCGCACGGAACCTGACGGATAAAATCCAAAACCTGTTCCTCGTCGGATCGGCGCTGATGCTGTGCGGCTGGCTGCTGAGCTACGGCTGTCCGATCAACAAGAAAATCTGGTCGCCCACGTTCGTACTGGTCACCTGCGGCATGGCCTCGTCGCTGCGGCGCTGTTGATCTGGACGATCGATGTCAAAGGTTACAGGCGCTGGAGCCGTTTTTTCGAATCGTTCGGCACAATCCGCTGTTTCTGTACGTCTCGGCGGCCGTGCTCTCGATCCTGCTGAACAACATTCGCCTGCCGCACGGAAACGGCCTGCTGAGCCTGCACGGGTTCGCCTACTCGCTGTGCCTGAAACCCGCGCGTGGGCGACTACTTCGGTTCGCTGGTCTACGCGCTGCTATTCGTCGCGCTGAACTGGGGAATCGGTTATACGTTGTATAAACGGAAAATCTACATCAAAATATGATACTGCTTGCAGACAGCGGCTCGACCAAACGGACTGGTGCGTGGCCGACGGCGCCGCGGAAATATGCCGGATCGCCACCCACGGAACCAACCCGTTTTTCCAGAGCGCCGACGAAATCGCCCGGGAAGTGGACGGCGGCCTGCTCCCGCAGCTTGGAATCGTCCGATCGAACAGATCCGCTTTTACGGAGCCGGCTGCGCTTTCCCCGATAAGATCGCCGTGATCCGCGACGTCCTGGCCGCCCGTTTCACGGCGGCGGACATCGAAGTGGGCAGCGACATGCTGGCAGCCGCCCGCGCGCTGTGCGGCCGCAACGCCGGCATCGCCTGTATCCTCGGAACCGGCTCGAACTCCTGCCTGTACGACGAACCGAAATTACGGCCAACGTCTCGCCGCTCGGATTCATCCTCGGCGACGAAGGCAGCGGGGCGTTTCTCGGCCGGACGCTGGTCGGCGATTGCCTGAAAAACCAGCTCCCGACAGGACTCAGAGAGAAATTTCTCTCGCGTTTCGGCTTGACGCCGGCCGATATTCTCGAACGGATTTACAAAAAACCGTTCCCGAACCGTTTTCTCGCCGGCCTGTCGCCGTTTCTCGCGGAAAACCTCGACGTACCGGAAATCCGGACGCTGGTCAAAAACGGTTTCGCGAGCTTCCTGCGCCGGAACGTACTGCAATACCCCGACTGCCGCGAGCTTCCCGTGCATTTCACCGGATCGGTCGCCTTTATTATAAGGAGATCTTGGAAGAGACCGCCGTCGAATCCGGTCTGCGGATCGGGTCGATCGTCCGCACGCCGATGGAAGGACTCGTCCGTTACCATGCGAATCAATAACGATAACATATGACTTTCGTAAAAATTACCGAACAGGCGTCGCTGCACGACAACCTGGAACAAAAATCCGTCCGCGAGCTGCTGGAAGAGATCAACGAAGAAGACCGGAAAGTCCCGGAAGCGGTCGGCAAGGCGATCCGCAGATCGAAAAACTGGTAACCGCCATCGTCGAGCGGATGCGAAAGGAGGCCGCATCTTTTACCTGGGAGCCGGCACGAGCGGCCGGCTCGGCGTGCTGGACGCCTCGGAGATCCCGCCGACCTTCGGGATGCCGCCGACGCTGGTCGTCGGCCTGATCGCCGGCGGCGACACGGCGTTGCGGAATCCGGTGGAACACGCCGAAGACGATCCGCAGCGGGGCTGGCAAGAACTGCTGGAACGGAATATCTCGCCGCTCGACACGGTGATCGGCATCGCGGCATCGGGCACGACCCCGTACGTGATCGGGGCGCTGCACCGCGCCCGCGAACACGGCATCCTGACCGCCTGTATCTGTAGCAACCCGGACTCCCCGCTGGCCGCCGAAGCCGATATTCCGATCGAAATGATCGTCGGGCCGGAACTGGTCACCGGCAGTTCGCGGATGAAATCGGGAACCGGGCAGAAGCTGATCTGCAACATGATTACGACCGCCACGATGATCAAGCTGGGCCGCGTCAAGGCAACCGGATGGTCAACATGCAACTGACCAACGACAAACTGGTAGACCGCGGAACGCGGATGGTCGCCGACGAACTGGGGCTCGGTTACGAACAGGCCAAACGCCTGCTGCTGCTGCACGGATCGGCCCGCAAAGCGATCGACGCCTACCGCGAATCGCAAAGCTGACCCGCCGGCAAAACACCCGACAACCACGATCCCGGAAATCCGAAAATGTTGCGGACTTTCGGGATCGTCGCTTTCGGCCAAGTTGGTATTCGGCCCGTTTTTTCGTACCTTTGCAGTTTACGAACAAACGAACAGACAAAGCCTATGAATCATAAACCATTGATATTTATCACCAACGACGACGGAGTCCGCGCCAAAGGACTCCAAAAGCTGATCGAAACGGTCCGACCGCTGGGCCGGATCGTAGCGGTGGCCCCGGAAGAGGGGCAAAGCGGCATGTCGCACGCCATCACGATGACGCGCCCGCTGTACCTGAAAAGGTGACCGAGCAGGAAGGCTGACCATATACGGTTGCAACGGCACTCCGGTCGATTGCGTGAAGATCGCTTTCGACTACCTGCTGCAAAACGGCGAAACTCCGGATCTGGTGCTGTCAGGCATCAACCACGGCGCCAACTCGGCCGTTAACGTCCTCTATTCCGGAACGATGGGAGCCGCCATCGAAGGCAGTTCTACAACATTCCGTCGATCGGCTTCTCGCTGCTCGACCACGACGAGGACGCCGACTTCGGCACCGTGCAGCAGTACATCTGCCGATCGTGCGAAAGCCATGACCGAAAACCTCGGACGCCCGTTGTGCCTGAACGTCAACGTACCGAACCTGCCGGCCGAACAAATCCGCGGGATCATGCCCTGCCGCCAGAACCGGGGCTATTGGCGGGAAGTGTTCGAACGCCGCCAGGATCCGCGCGGACACGACTATTACTGGCTCTGCGTTATTTCGAAAATACCGAGCCCGAAGCGACCGACACGGACGAATGGGCGCTCAAAAACGGGTACGTATCGGTCGTTCCGATCCAAGTGGATCTGACCAATACGAACAACTGGGGCAGTTAAAAGAGCTGAAATTCGAGTAAAAACAGCTTCCTTACCGCCGTTTCGACCCGTTTTCGGATATCGAGACCCGTTAAAAACCCGACTAAATTGAACGATCGGGTAAAAACTTTCAAAACTGGAAAACTATTTTTGTTTTTCCAGTTTTCTTATTTACATTTGCGACCTGTACAATGCGGTAAAATCGGATTGTGAAAAAATGCCGTAAAAATGGTCGAATCCACATAAAACCGGCATCATACGGGCAATTTATCCGGTAAAACACGTTAAGAAAAACGAAATAACGTATTATCCGGAGTAAAAAGACTTTACCGAATGCACGGATTAGATTATCGAACGAATATTTGTACTTTTGTCTGTCGGATTTTCGTCGGCAATTCATCCGTTCGTTCGACGCAGGCAAGAAAACATGGTGAAAAATATGGATAGCGGAAAAAACGAAAAAACATGAGCAGAACACGGAACGGGTCGCACCTCATGCAGGCGCACGACAATGGGGAATGCGGTTCCCCCGCACACTACGACATTCGAAAAATAACAAACAAATAGTTGAAAGAATATGAAAATTCGAAATCAATGCTTATTCAGTCTCAACGGTTTTTCTTATTAACCGCATTGGGCGCGACTTTCTTTTCGTGCGGCACGAAACAGCAGGCCGGAATGATGGGCGGCGTACCGGAATACGCCACCATAACGCTCGAGCCGATTCGATCGAACTGAACAATACCTACCCGGCAGCCGCTATCCGCGGACGCCAGGATATCGAAATCCGCCCGAACGTCAGCGGATTCATCACCAAACTGTGCGTAGACGAAGGCGCGACCGTTAAAAAGGCCAAACGCTGTTCATCATCGACCCGGTACAATTCGAGGAGGCCGTCAAAGTGGCCGAAGCAAACGTAAACGTAGCCAAGGCAGCCGTAGCGACGGCCCAGTTGACCGCCGACAACAAACGCGAACTGGCCCGCAAAATATCATCAGCGAGTACGACCTGCAAATGGCCGAAAATACCCTCGCATCGCAGAAAGCGGCCCTCGCACAAGCCGAAGCGCAATTGACCAACGCGAAGAATAACCTCTCTTATACGCAGGTGACCAGCCCGTCAAACGGAGTGGTCGGCGAAATTCCGTACCGTGTCGGAAGTCTCGTAAGTCCGAGCATGGCCACCCCGCTGACCACCGTAGCGGACAATTCGGAAATGTACGTCTACTTCTCGCTGAACGAAAAAGAACTGCTGAAGATGACGACCGACGGATCGCTGAAGAAGATGCCGGAAGTGCAACTGCAGCTCGTCGACGGCTCGATCTACCCGGAAAAGGGCACCGTCGAAACGCTGAGCGGCGTGATCGACCAGACCGCCGGCGGAGCCCGCGTACGCGCCACATTCAAAAATCCGAACAGGTATTGCGCAGCGGCGGATCGGGCAACATCCTGATCCGGAAAAACTCGATTCGACGATCGTGATTCCGCAGAGCGCAACGGTCGAAGCCAGGATAAGATCTTCGCATTCGTCGTAACGGACAGTTCGACGGTAAACCAGACGATGATTCAGGTATTGCCGATCAATAACGGCCAGCAGTATGTCGTAACCGGAGGTCTGAACCCCGGCGACCGGATCGTCGTAGAGGGCGTAGGCTTTATCAAGAAACGGTATGCCGATCAAACCGATCACCCCGAAGAGGCAGCCGCCAAAATGCAACAGCGACTCAACAGGCAGCCGCTGCCGCAGCAGCCAAGGTGCAGCAAAATAAAACGCCCGGAATGAATTTCGCATAAAAAAGCAGAATTATGAAATTAGACAGATTTATAAAACGCCCGGTACTATCCACGGTGATCTCGATTCTTATCGTGATATTGGGTGTGCTGGGATTGGTTTCGCTGCCGGTAACTCAATATCCGGATATCGCGCCGCCGACCGTGCACGTCAGCACGTCTACACCGGCGCCAACGCCCAAACCGTACTGAACAGTGTGATCGCACCGCTCGAGGAGCAGATCAACGGCGTGGAGACATGATGTACATGACCTCCACGCTACTAATACCGGCGATGCGAGCATCGACGTATATTTCAAACAGGGAACCGACCCCGACATGGCCGCGGTGAACGTGCAGAACCGCGTCGCCAAAGCCCAGGGTCTGCTGCCGTCCGAAGTTACGCAGGTCGGCGTGATCACCAGCAAGCGGCAGACCAGTATGCTGCTGGTCGGCACGGTTTTCAGTCCGAACGACGAATACGACCAGAACTTTCTGAAAAACTATGCTCAGATCAACCTGGTTCCCCAGATTCAGCGCGTACCCGGCGTGGGCGACGTGATGATGATGGGCGCCGATTATTCAATGCGTATCTGGCTGAAACCGGATGTGATGGCGCAGTACATGCTGATGCCGACGGACGTTATCAGCGCACTCGCCGAACAGAACATCGAGGCGCGCCGGACAGTTCGGCGAAAGCGGCGACCAGTCTTTCAATATATCATGCGGTACAAGGGACGCCTGGCTACGCCCGAAGAGTTCGAAGATATCGTAATCGGGCGACCCCGGACGGCAAGGTGCTGAGACTCGGCGAAATCGCCCGTGTCGAACTGGGCGGACTTTCGTATGCATTCTCGACCCGTTCGAATGCCCATCCGGGTACCTCGTCATCATTTACCAGACCGCAGGCTCGAACGCTACGCAGATTATCAACGACGTTAAAAAATCCTCGAGCAGTCCGCCAAGGATTTCCTCCGGAGTGGACTACGAAATCATGATGGATACGAACGATTTCCTGTTCGCCTCCATCAATGAAGTGCTCAAACGCTGATCGAAGCATTTATTCTGGTGTTCCTCGTGGTGTTCATCTTCCTGCAGACTTCCGCTCGACGCTGATCCCGGCGATCGCGATCCCGGTAGCTTGATCGGTACGTTCTTCGTCCTGTACCTGATCGGATTCAGCGTGAACCTGTTGACGCTTTGCGCCCTCGTGCTGGCGATCGCCATCGTGGTCGATGATGCCATCGTGGTCGTCGAGGCGGTACATGCCAAACTGGATCAGGGTTATAAATCGCCGTTGAAAGCGTCTATCGACGCGATGAGCGAAATTTCGGGAGCTATCGTGTCGATCACCCTCGTGATGATGGCCGTGTTCATTCCGGTAAGCTTCATCACCGGTACGTCGGTACGTTCTACCGCCAGTTCGGTCTGACGATGGCCATCGCCATCGGCCTGTCCGCATCAACGCGCTGACGCTGAGTCCTGCGCTGTGCGCCATGTTCCTGAAACCGCACCAGAAAGAGGAAGAGGGACAGAAAAAACTGAGCCCGATCAAACGGTTTCCATAAAGCCTTCAACGTCGCTTACGACGTCACGCTGACCAAGTACAAAAAAGGCGTCAACCTGTTCATCAAACGGAAATGGCTCGCTTTCGGCCTGGTCATCGCTTCGGTGGTCGTTCTGCTCGGCCTGATGAAAACACTCCGACGGGTATGGTGCCGAACGAAGATACGGTACTTTCTTCGTCGCCGTGAGTATGCCGCCGGCAACTTCGCTGGAAAAGACACAAGCCGCCATGGCTCGGATAGACAGTCTGCTCGCAGCCACCCCGGTCTGAAAAGCCGTACCGAAAGCGCCGGATACAGTTTCATGGCCGGACAGGGTAGCGCCTACGGTACGTTTATCTGTAAACTCAAGCCGTGGGAAGAACGTACCAAGGAACAGAACGTCGATGCGATCATGGGTATGCTGACCATGCAGACGCGCAACCTGATCAAAGACGCCCAGGTATTTATCTTCGCTCCGCCGATGATCTCGGGTTACAGCGCCTCGAACGGTTTCGAAGTGAACTGCAGGACAAAACGGGCGGCGACATCAACACGTTCTTCAACATCTCGCAGCAGTCATCGGCAAGCTGAACCAACGTCCGGAGATCGCAATGGCCTACAGCGCGTTCAACCCGTTCTACCCGCAGTATATGGTCGATATCGACGTAGCCAAATGTAAACAGGCCGGCCTGAGTCCGCAAACGCTGCTCGCCGCCCTGCAAGGCTATTACGGTAGTATCTACGCGTCGAACTTCAACCGTTTCGGCCGCCTGTACCGCGTAATGATCCAGTCCGACGCCGAACTGCG